ACCAGTGGCTAGGGAAAATGGGTCTGGACCAGGGGAAAGAAATGTAGCTGGAGGGCCAGAGATTTTGCCTCAAAGTTTGAGGTTGCCTGCCTCTGAAATTTAGTCTCCACTATATTTTTGTGTCACTTTGTAATACACCACCATGTGCTACTATTCATGGGCTGGAAGAAGAAGTTATCTTATCCTGTTACCTTTGCATATTTTGCTGACTCATGGTCATAATGTACTTAAGACTTTATCAGCCTCCAACAGGATGTAAGAAGAACTCAGCAATTCTTGCTTAGAGTGTTTTAAAGAGTTTCAGACAGGCCTTCATGTGAATGTATATAGCAACCTTTCACAACCTGGTGCTTTATATTCCAGATATTTTTATTCCAACTCTCATCAGCCCCAGCCAGTATAACCAATATGGTAAGGGATGGTGGAGTATGTATCTAAAGCATCAGGAAAGCTCATGTATAAGTGACTGCCCTATACTGTCGCACAGCTGATTTTTAAATTCTCATGAATTTTGAAAAGACAGTTTAAATAATGATAGGAGATGAAGTCTGAGTTTCTCACTCCCATATTTCTAATTGAAGTCCATATTGCATACTATATGCAGGAAGAAATATTAACTATCCTGCAAAGTGCTGCCACTAAAAGACTCTTAGAGGTAGGGTTTGCTGAGAGAGTTCCTCCCCAAAGCTGAGTGGGAATTTAAACCTGAAACACTTCATTTCTAGATTGGTACTTACTACAAAACCACTATACAGTGGTGCCTCATCCTTCAAACTTAATTCTTTTCAGGAAGCCATTTGAACTCTGAATTGTTCAATGTCTAAATCAATTTTCCCCATTAGAAAGAATGGAAAGTAAATTAATCCATTTAAACAATACCCATTTTAAACTTAAACAGCAAATACAGCCTCCTGAAATGAATTAGGTTTGAAGTAGTAAAGTTTTGTTAGTGCATTTACTGTACCTTAGTGAGGAGTGGTTATATACGAGGTGCGATCAAAAATACAGTAAATGTTTAAATTTTTAAAAAATATATTACAGTAAAAGACACATTGCCATTAACCCCCCTCAAAATACTCCCCCTCATTTTGAACACACTTATCCCATCATAAGTGTCACTTTCTGAAGCAGTTCTCGAAGTGCTCTTTCATGAGTGTCTTTAGTTGCACTATTGTGGCTGCCTCGATGTCCTGAACTGATTCAAAACATTTACCTTTCATGGTCATTTTGACTTTGGGAATAAGCTGAAAGTCACACAGTGTTAGATCTGGTGAATAAAGTAGATGAGGACACACCAAAATGATTTTATTTGACAGAAATTGCCATACCAGAATTGATGTGCATTTTGAATGGTGCTCTCAGGAAGACTAAGTTTGCACATATTGGCAACAAATCATGGATCAGTTAACCTACATTTTGCCAGGCTGCATACTGCATTGAAGCTGCTTTTGCTTTGCATGATCAACTTCTAGTTGGCCAGGGAAAGTATTGAAAAGTTGGAAAACCCTGAGACTGTTTGGTTCAACACTTAAAAGTGAGAGTATTACATTGAAAAGGGATATTTTGGTGAACCTTCTTTTGCTGCTTTTCCCCACTTTACTGGTGCCTGCCCATTGAAAGCTTGGAAATTGGTCCCTGTCAAATGAGCATAAATTAGCCTATATTCAATCATACAATATCAATCTGTTACCTACTTTACTGTTCCCTTTGACAGCTGAAAGAGATAAAGACATTGACATGGTCAGGTGACACCTGTTGGACATGACACTTGTTGGACGTAAATGTGCACTTGATGTTATGTGCCATCAAGTGTCCGGTTTTGGACCCCACCATTTAAGAAAGTTGCGGACAAGCTGGAAAGGATTCAAAGGAGGGCAACAAGGAAGATGGGATGGAAATGGAAAATGGAAACAAAGCCCTATGGGGAGAGATTGAAAGAACTGGGCATGTTCAGCCTCTGAGAAGAGAAGACTGAGGGGAGTTATGATAGCATTCTACAAGTACTTGAAAGGCTTTCACAGAGAGGAAAGACAGAATCTCTTAATCATCCCAGAGTGCAGGACATGGAATAATGGGCTCAAGTTATAGGAAGTCAGGTAACAGCTAAATATCAGGAAAAATTTCCTGACAGAGCATCATGACAACAGAACCAGTGACTTAGGTTGGTTGTGGGTTCTCTTACATTTAGGGCATTCAAGACGTAACTGGACAGCCATCTGAGAGGGATGGTTTAACTTGGATTCCTGCACTGAGCAGGGGATTGGACCCAATGGCTTTCTGGCCCCTTCCAACTCTACTATGATTCTATGTCTCTGACTTACGGTAACCCCATAAGCGAAAACCCTCCAAAATGCCCTGTCCACCACAGCCCTGCTCAATTCTTCTAAATTCAAGGCTGTGGCTTCCATTATGGATTCAATACATCTTATATTTGGTCTTCCTTTTCTTCTGCCTTTGACTTTCCCTAGCAGAAGTGTACTTACATGCTTGCAAAAGACTGACAAAAATAATACTTAAAATTATGAATATGACTGTACAGTGTTCTGGGACAATTTTTTAAAGGGATTGTGAATTAATGACAGTTGCACCAAAGGGTTGATTGGGCATATCTAGAGGATCAGTCATTGACAGGAGCATGAGCAACTTCACGAGAAACAGATAAGGCTTTGCCACACTTCCGAAGAGGCTCACTTAAGTGGTTCCTGCAACCCATGAAGAAACTGTTCTCCAGGACCTGGATGACATGACAACTCAACAGATGAAATCGGACAACTCCTAGACCAAGTCATGTGCTGTCAGGATGACCTGTTGCTGAAAAATTAGCCAACTTGCAGGAATCAGTCTTTTTTAAAAATATTTTTATTGTTTTCTTAAAAGAAATAGAGTACAGAAAAGGAAAAAAAGAAAAATGTAAAGAAGAAATAAGAATGCCAAGGGATCTTACACAATTATAACATATAAACTCTTTTACTCAATCAATACTTTGTTGAAGCTTGCAAAAGGAAAAATTATAAGTCTCTAAACCAGCAAGTTTTCCAATTGCTTCAAGTCAATTATGAATATCAACAATATTTTCAAGCTTCATTTTGTTCTGTATTAATTAAACTACATTGAATAAAATTTCCATTTATCATTAAATTATTCAGTTGGTCTTCTGTTTACATAATTAGTTAGTTTTGCCAACACTGCATAATCAGCCAACTTGTTTTTCCAGTCTTCAATTGCTGGGCATTCTGCTGTTTTCTATTTAGAAGCAATTGCAATTCTTGCTGCAGTCATATATTTAAATGATATATTCTTTGAGAAAATCTCTGTCATAATATTCAAAAGCATATTATTAGCATTTATAGGAAAGTTAATTTTGAAACTTTTCTGTATTTCCAGTCAGGGAAAGGTACAGTGAGAGACTTGACAGAATTTGAAAAGCTGATTGTACAACAAAAGGATCACTTGTTCGGATAATTTTACAAGCAACTACGCCATTGATCTGAACTTTAGCAAGCTAAGAAATGCACAGTAACTTGGATGTACAACCTTGGAGAAGAAATACCATCCTACCAATGGGAAACTTTATGGAAGAAGGAAATTAAATTTGCAGCCAGTCAAGCACTAAGAGAAAATTGGTATAAGACTTTTTTTTTTAGTGGTACTTTATTCCAAAAGTTACAGAAAAAATGGGCAAGAATTACAATGGAAACTGTTGGAAATGTAAAGAAGTAGATGGAACTTTCTACCATATGTGGTGGACTTGTGATAAAATTAAAAGATTTTGGAAGTTGCAGGAAGCAGTCTTGATTCAGCTGGTATGATAACCTGCCATGACTAGTTGCTCAGAATGGGTTGTGCTGTGCAAACTAAGCCTTAGAGTGAATCCCGTGTTCCCCCCTCAAGGACGGTATCTAAAGGACAGAGGGAAGGCAATCAAAATAGTAATGTAGAAAGAAAGTTGCAACTGCTGATGAAGACTCTGATTTAAAAAGAAAAGAAAAAGCTACAGAAAAATAGGGCTTATGGATAGGAAATGTCAGCATGTTGTCCTTAGATATAATTTAGTCTAATTATGCAAAATGCTCCAAAATATTTGTAACATTAATATATACCACTTTTGATAAGAAAAATAGCACCATTGTAAGATTATTTAAAGTTTGTACATGGTGAAGCATTCTTATAAATGCATTATCAAATGGTAAATTTACTATTTAGCATGCCTCGAAACCCATTTGTAGAATGCCACTGCTCTTGACCTGGAAAGCAAATTCATCGCATAGAAGAAAATTCTCAAGCCCATTTCACTGTGTGAAAATTTGTTTGGAAAGTCTCCATGTCAAGCTCAGCCCATAGACTCGCTCCCAAATAGCCCAAAATCCAGGAAAAGAATTCTGTGTATTTATGTACAACCAACATATAACCGGACTTTCCCAGGGCCCTCTCTTTATGAGTAGCTTCTCCAGCTTGATTTGTTGCAGACATTTTGGACTTCAGCTCTTTCAAGATATTTTTAAAATATGGTAAGTGGTATATATCTAAAGTTGTCATCATCACATTATATTAGCTCCAGCTGGTATGGCCAGTGGTCAGGAAAGCAGGGAATTGTAGTGCAAAATCTAGAGGGCTCTAGGTGAGAAAGCCCACCTTATGATGTCTACCTGAATGGCACTTGCAAATGCATATAGTAAATCCCCAGTGGCATCTTTTACAAGCAAAGAAACTTGGGGAGGAGGGTTGCTATTTTAAAACAGGTTTGACACTAAATTAGATAAAAGTTTTAACAGGGAGCTCTAAGCTCAAAATGTTTGAGAAATAAGATGGTATTTCAGAAAAGCCATACTTACTATGAGGGATTTTTTTCCGGTGTTTGGGCAGGGATATGCCAGGCTGTACACATGAATTTAAACACCTTTGCACCATGATAAGGAAAAAAATAGTATTAACATACCAGTGTCCAAACCAGATAAGATGCTTTGGGCGGGTAGGGTTTTTTCTTTTCCTGAAACACTCATTTTGCACTAAAGCATTTGGCCAGATGATTCTATGGCAGATCTAAACGCCTCTGTAAATATAAATATATAAAATAAACCATTGCAAATGGCGAGCTTAGAAAAGGACCATTCATATTCTGGAAGTTCACAGGAACCAGTGGCCACAGCTGAGGAGTATGCAGTTCCAGGTAATAAAGTTTATTCTGGGAAGGGGAATGTTTTAATGGTCATAGATCTACAGTTCTAGAATTGCATGCACTTTGGGTATCCCTGTTTTTGGTTATTTGTCCTTGATAAAACTGTTCCTACCTGGGAAGAAATGTTGGAGGTACATTTTCCAAACTTTGCTTGTATGTAGTAGGATTCTTCAAGCTTCAAAAAGGATGAAAACAAATAACTTGGTAAGTATGCTGGAATATGTTTGAACAGATATTCTTTCTGCTCTGAAAAAGGAAATGGGATTAGCACTGACGATACCTCGATTCAAGTCCCTATCCAGCCATAAAGCTCCCAGGGGTAACCTCAGGCTAACCCATCACAATCTAACATACCTTAGAGGGTTGTTGTGAAAATAAAATGGGTGTATGAGAGGAGCTTTGCTTGTTTTGAGCTTCTGGAGGAAAGGTGTGATACAACTGTAAAATTTGTTCCAACCCTATCAGTTTAAAACTTTGTATCTGTCTTCACTCACAAATTAAATCTCTGAACAAGAGGCAAATGCATCACAGGGCAGACCCAAAGGAAAAGTATATTCTCAAAATGGTGTTTGCTGAGGTGAGGCAATACAGTGCAGAGTGCATTGCACATGGGCATTTGTAGGAGGAAATCAATAGGCAGGAGGAAGGGGAACTGACCCTTCCCATGGCAGGGCCAGCCCTGTCAGTAAGCAGAGTGAGTCAGCTGCTTCAGGCAGCTAATTTCAGATATGAAAGGACATCATATAGTTACTGAATTATTTTCTTTCTGATTGATCATTTTTATTGCCAGCGAAGGGGTGCAATATTTGCAAGATTTTCTTCCTCCGGTGCCAAATAACTTGACACAGCCCTTGACATTGTGTGTCTGACATGGAGGAGGCATGGTCTCCATGTGCTTCGCTGCCCCAGGCAGCAAAATGTCTCCGGCCAGTCCTGCTATGGATTCTCTCTTGCAAGTGCTCCTCTGAATCTCCCCATAGGCTCTCTTGGAAATTCCATCATAAGACAGAGTGCAAAAGCTAATACAACAAACAAAATGAATTATATCTATTGGACTTTTCCCAGTATTTGAACTTGCCTGTGAAAAAATAGATTAAAATGGCTGGGTGTGGGATACAGGAATTGCATGGGAAAATTACTGAGAAGGGGGACCCTGCTCTCCTGCCAGGTCTCACCCACACATGGCCCATTCATTCCTGCATAAGCCTTACAGGAAAAACACATGTATTTGAAAATGCCAGTTTTGCCTCATAATGGGTAGTCCATTTGTTTTATTTATATGTCCTTTTTGCTGAACCAACAAAAAACAAAAAGCTGGGGCAGCACTTTACCTTCATCCTCCCACAACATGTTTACCCTGATAATCAAATTACTGAGAGCATTTTTGTTGCAGCTGTATCAGAACTACAACCAGGCCCCTTGTGAAGTTGGATATTCTATTTTTTTTCATATCAAAGTGAACTATCATGGTCATTTCTCTTTTGCATCTGCTCATACTTATTTGAAAATAAACTCACTATTATGGTTTTTACTTTTCCATTTAAAATACTCAAACAGAGCTTTGCTTTTTTATTTTCAAAAGGTAAAGTATGTCAGTAATAAGGAAAGATGAAACACAGAATTGCATGAACAATTTTAGCAGTTATAATTGGCACAGCAACCCCAATGACATTTTGCTTTGTCTCATCCAAGGAGCTGAAAGCCACTTTCAACTCTACCTGTATGATAAACAATTGCTACGAATCGTCAATGTTGGTGACTTTCCTGGGTTTTGCTGCAGCTGAAGTTCATAATTAATAGTTTCCCCTAAAATCTTACTAAAATTTCTTCACCTCTGATCAACATTTTATTTTCCAGTGTGGCTTTACAACACATACAAAACAAGATATCATCAATAAAAGAGCCAGTGTGAGATAGTGGTTAGAGCAGGGCTAGGCATAAGAATTGTAGTCCAAAACATCTGGAGAACACCAGCCTGTCTATTCCTGAGTTAAGAGTGTCAGATAAGATCAATGTCCAAATCGCTACTCAGCTATGAAGGATATTAGGCAATTTACCAATCACTTTCTCTCTGCCTAAATGATCAAAAGCTGTGACGATAAAATGGAGTTCATATGCATGCCAATCAGCCTAAGCTCCTTTGTAAATGCAACAAATTAATAACAATGTAACTGAATAATGGATAAAAACAGCTTGTGAAAGCAACACAAAGCCAGGATATCCTGCCCCTGCTGCAGTGTAGATTGGTGCCACTATATCAACCAGGGTTACCACTGACATTTGCAGTCCCAAATTCATGATCTACTTTGAGAGTTTGATAGAGATGGAGCATAATAGCAATGTCTCTACTTCCTCCTATTGCACTGGCTCTATTCATATAACTTTGACTGAAAATACTGCAAATCCTTTGTCATCCAGTGGCCATGTAACTCCTGGCACACCCTCATAGGGGTGCCAGTGCTGCAGTGAAAATACAGGTGGATATAGAAAAGCTGAGAGTTCTCTGGAAAACTGCAGACCAGAAAGCAGCTTGCCTCTTGTACAGTGGAAATTACTGCCATGAAAACTAAGAGACTCATAATAATTACAAAGCTTTGGTAGGGGTATGGACAATCAATGCACCACACTATGAGATGGCTGGGTGTGCAATGGAAGAAACACGACTGTAACCCAGAGCTCCAGCATACACAGTGGCTTCATTCTGTCATCTGTGGACAATCAACACTGCAAACCTAGGCATGCCTACTCATATATAAGCCCCATAGTGGCCCGATAAGATTTACTGTTAAGTAAGTGCAGTGCTTTTTTTGTAAAAAAAAAAAAAAAGTGCTGGAACTCGAACTCAAACTCACCTGCAGTAAGCGGGTGACCACACGCACCAATCCCAAGCAGAGCAGAGAACTCACTATCTCACTATCAGGTAGCAGATAGCAGACACAAAAGCAGCCTGCAGGCACTATGTTAATGATGTTGGCTGCTGATCTGCTACTGGATTCAAAATCACTTCGTAAAATCCATTGGAAAAAAAGGTGCTGGAATGCCATTCCAGTGCGTTCTATGACAAAAAAAGCCCAGAGTAAGTGTATATAATATTGCAGCCTAAAGGCACAATGCTATGCATCTTTAGACAGAACAGAAGTTGTACAACAACTCCCAGCATGCTCCAGGAAGCATGTGGAAACAGATTATCTAGATCCAGTTCAATCAGGTTTCAGTTTTGGTTTTGGAACAGAGACTGTCTTGGTTGCCCTGTGGGAGAGAGTTTAGGCTGATTCCCAACTAGGACTCTATCTGGACAGGCAGAGCCTAACAACAGTGATCCATGCTCTGCATGCCTTTGGAAACAGCCCAGAGACTTTGGTCGGTTCAAAACAGAGCAGCAAGGCTGCTAACAAGAACTGGCCAACATGAACACATCATACCAGTCCTGTATCAATTGCATTGGTTAGGTCCAGGTCTCATTTAAAAGTGCAAGCATTAACATTTAAAGTCTTAAATAGTTTGGGGCCAGGTGATATGAAGGGACACCTCCTCCCGTATGTGCCTACCCAAACCCTGAAATCATCATCAGACATCCTTCTCAGAGAGCCCCCTCCAAAATGTAAGGAGGGCGGGTACTAAGGAAATAGCCTTAGTTGTGCCCCCTCCCCCATCTGTGGAATCAGCTCCTCAAAGAGCTGCACCTGGCACCCATTCTTTGTTCCTTCTGGTGCTGGGTGAAAACCTTTTTATTTTCCCAATATTTAAATAATTTTTATTATTTTATTTTTTTATTTTTTACAAATATTTCTGTAACTCTAGACTGATTTAGCTGCAGTTGTGGTGGCTGGATCATTGTTTTATTGTTTTATTGTATTTTATACTAATTGTATTACTGTGGTTTTATGACTGTTCTATATTAATTGATGTATCTTTAGATTTTGTGAACTGCCTAGGGAGCCTTTAGGCTGATGGGCAGTGTAAAAATAGAACTAACAAATAATCCCTTCCCCAAATAGTGCCTCTAGTCCCTTGAAATATTTTAGTCTATACTGGCATATAAGGTGACTTGTGTATAAGACAAGATTGATATTTTCAGCACAATAACCCTAATAGAAAACTCCATGTCCAAACCAACCCCAAACTGGCACCAAACATGCAATGCCCTTTGGCAGTTGCCCTTTGGCTGCTGCCCAAGAGCACCACCCAAGGGCACTGTCCTGTGCACCAACATGCCCCCGCCTCATCTCTGCCTCCACTCCACAAATAACAGGTGTGGTGAATGCTCCCGTCTTCTTCTCCTCGGTGCCAAAATTCTCACCACTCGATGTTGGGGTTGTGTGGTGGCAGGCAGTGGGGACAACTGAAGCTGTTCCTCTCAAACAAGATATCCCCCTCCCCAATTCTTGCCTTGCTATTTTCAGTCTCAAGGGTTGTCTTACCAGTACATACGGTACCTATGCACACGTGCAGACGAACTGGAGTTGTGATGTACTCTCTGGCCCTGACCTATGTAGGTTGAGTAACCAGGCCTGGTACACAGAATTGCAAAAACATGGTCAGGTATCCTTCAAAAAGGGGCTTTATTATGTTGCCTTGTTTAAGAGTCTTCTTCATTTGACTGTAATTAGTTCCATTGTACTTCTGGATACTTTCTTCTTGCAGAGGTTGTCATCACACGCCGTTTGAGAGACCGAGAGCTTCTCAGAAAAAGGAAAGCAGAAGCAGAGGAAAAAGAGACTCACCAGTGGGTTCTGGGGTAAATTAGGGTGCTGCCTGAAAAAGTGACATCATTGTTAGTTATTGTATTAGTATAGTATTCCCTGTCTAGGCATTCCAGAATGGTGAACAGTACAACAACAGTAGCCCCAAAAGATGCAAGAATAAAGACAAGGTAACATCTGTGGCATATCAGCAAGAAAGGCTTCCTTCGACAAAGATGTCCAGCAGGTGCCCAGAACAATACAATGGTGCTGCCTGCCTGATCTCCAGAGGTAGAGCATTCCATAGAAATGGGGCTACCACACTGAAGGCCCTTCTCTTGTTGGATGACATTCGGGCCATGGGTCCGTGTGGAACCACCAGGAGAATGTCCAAGGATGACTTTGGGGATCAGGCACATTGATAAGGGAGAGGGTACTCTCTTGCTTATCCTGGTCCAAAGTTGTTTGAGGCTTTGTCCATTAGTCCTAGAAACATTAAACCTGCTATTAAGAAATAGGGAGCCGGTACAATTTCTTCAGCAAGGGAATTGCATTCTGCACTGGCTCCTGCTTCCAAAGCTGCCTTAAGGGCAGCCCCACGTAGAGCACATTGCGGCAATCAGGTTCTGAGAAAAGCAGCACCTCTGTCATTGTGGTCAAGCCATCCCTGGTCAGGCAAGGCTGTAGCTGATGAACCGATCAGAGGCAGTAGAATGCACCTGAAGTTGCCTTGGTCCTTTGGAATTCCAGAAACAGGGAAGGGTGTGGGAGTGCCCCCAGACTATGAATCTGAGCTTCCAGAGGGAGTACAACCTCCTCCAGAACAGGCAATGAGTCTCTCTGCTGGATTTGGGAGCCACCCACCCACAGAGCTTCCTTTTTGCCAGGATTTGGCTTGGGTTTCTTGGCACTCATCCAGCCCATCACTGAGCCCAACCACTGAACTAAGAGCTGCAGAATCTCTCATTTATCACCGGGAGACAGAGTTGTGTGCCATCAGTGTGCTAATGGCACTTTGTTCCAGATCCCCTGACGATTGCTCCCAGTAGCTTCACAGAGATGGGAAACAGCATGACTTCCTGTGCAATTCTATAGTTCAATTGCCAAGTGTCCAATGATACTCTCTGAAATTGAGTCCACAGGTAAGGCCAGAGCCATTGTAACACAGTAACTCCAGTGTCCGACCCATGGAGTAAATCCAGGATAATACCATGGTGAATGGTATCAAAAATGGATGAGAGACTGAGTAGAATTAACAAGTTCGCAGTTCCCTGTCCGTCTCCTAAGAATGATTGTCCATTAGGGTGGCCAAGGTTGATTCAATCCTGTAACAAGGTTTATTTATTTAAAATATTTATATGCCATTCTAAATCGCAAAAAGCCTCAGGATGGCTTACAACATGAAATAAAATCTCCAGCCCACACTGGCTGCAATTAAAAACACAGAAAAAACCATATTAAGACTTATTAAAATATCGCTGAAATAAAAAGGTCTTAACCTGGCACTGAAAAACAAATAACGGCGCCAGGCGGACCTCTCTGGGGAGCGCATTCCATAGGCGGGGCGCCACCGCAGAGAAAGCCCTCCTCCGGGGACTTTGCTTCCTAATGTCTTTCATGGAGGGTTCCCGGAGGAGAGCCTCTGCTGCGGATCTCAAGGGGCGGGAGGGCAAATATGAAAGAAGGTGTTCCTTCAGTTATCCAGATCCCAAGCCGTTAAGGGCTTTATAGGTCATAACCAGCACCTTGAATTGAGCCCAGAGGTTGAGGCAAAACAATCCATTAAGTGCCTTGTGTGCCTGTACGTTTGTTAAAACCATATTTAAATAATGTCACTGAAATGATTGCTTAAGACCCGATTCAGAACATGTTAGTTATGCTTAAGTCCCACTGAAATCAGATAATGTGTATGATAGTTAGAAGGAGTGGCAAGGAGTTATGGATCTCACACAAGTCTTACCAGTGAACACTGGCAATTGCTTTAAATTACTCCTTTGGTTTCTGAGATTTCACTAGATGTCATGTTTCAAGGATGGCTTTGCAGCATATGGGCTAGAAACTTGCTTTACTTGCAACAAAACAGAACAAGTGTCAAATCACACAGATCACACTGCATTTGCATGTAACGTTAGTCTAGCTGTCCCTTTGATATATAAATTATGCTCAGAAGGTAGTGGAAATGGTTTTTTGTAGGGGGATTACGTTGTGAAGGTCAAACATGGCTTCCCGGTCCCTGCTGCCATGTATTCTGTTCTGCTTCATCTGCAGTGGAATGACCTAGTGTGACCCCTACAGTCCTTGGGAATCCGAATCGCTCAGCCACTAGCACATCCTCTTGCTATGTATGATGTAGCCTTTGCATTTGAACATGAGGAGGACTGTATGTATCATTTCAGAAACCAAACCATGAAAAACTAAAGGGAGGATTTAAGAATTATGAAAGGGGATGATTGCCAGCTACAAATTCCCATCAAATCTCTTGCAAATGACTCTTAAGAATAATCTGTTCTTCAGCACTTGCGTGACTAAAATGCAGTCCTCGGCTCTTTGGCAGGGAGCACAAAATGAGCAAACCAGCAAAACGGGGAAGAGGGACCAGGAGGGGCCGTGGCCAGCGCCAGGCTCTGGAAGCGCAGGCAGAGCCGGCAGAGGAAAAGCAAGAGGCGCCAGTGACCAAGCTGGAGGAAGAACCCACAGTCACTCTGGATTTCCAGGCAGAGCCTCCCATGCCCCTTCTGGGAATGGATGAGCTGTACATGCAGCAGCAAGAACCCGAGGCAGCCCCAGCTGAAGGGGTTGTTTCCCCAGTGGGTAAGTAGCCTTGGGATGTGCCTTTCTTCTGGGCAGGGCCAGCCCAAGACAGGTGGCTGCCTGAGGCAAGGGACAGGATGGGACCTCCTCTTCCCTGTACAGAAAATGACAGGGTGGGCATTGAACCCCTCCTTCAGCACTTGTGGTAGGATGGGCAGCTTAAAGGGCACAAACACTGCCTTGCTCTGCATAATGGCAGGACAGGTACTGCTTTCAGGGTCAGGGAGGAGAATCCTATGGTTAAATACTGTGTGATGTCTTAGCAGCCATCCTTGGAACATTTCTTGCCCCTTCTGTACTGCAGTTCCTCAGGATTACTGGTCAGTTGGGTCAGATAAGGGCAACGTTACACCATTTTCATAGCTGGGACTATAACAAATACAAGGAAAGGTTGCTTTGGTTTAGAGTTGTTGTTAAATTAAATTTATATACCACCACTTAACTATAAAAGGCTCTCAGAGCAGTTTACAACCACGAAAATACAAGATACATTAAAATACAATATAAAACAAAGTACAAAATTCAAAATAAAATAAAATCAGCTACATAAGACAATAAACACAATTTACAAAGTTTAGAAAGTTTCTAAAATGATAGCAGCCAATTCATAATCATCATGTAGCCTACAACTACAAATCACCCACCCAGCTCTCCAACAGCCAGGGTCTTAAGGTCCTCCTAGCACCAACTGGGCACCCTCAGCAGTGCCCTTTGGCCGCTGCTGAGGGTGGAAGGTCCCCAGCGAAATAGGCCAGCATGGTGGGAGGGGCAGCCTTGGAAAGTCCACCCATGAGCACTGGTTCCACCATTCTCCCCTCCCTTTCCCAGCACTCTACCTGTCGCCAGCTGACCTGGGGGCTGAGGTCTTCCTGGATTACTCAGTTACTACCCAGCAACCTTCCAGTTTCTAACTCTCCAAAGTTTTATCATGCTTTTCCTTAGTAACATGTCTAACAGGACAATGGACTGGAAAATGGTATGAAAGGAAAGGGTTAAGTGTGTCTCTTCCTCAGTGCCACTGCTGCATTTTCAGAGCCTTCCACAACTGCTCTAAAGTGAAAAGAAACATATCAGGGGATTGTGATGAGAGCTCTCATGCATAACATGTGGTTCCGCCCTTAAAATCTCACCAGATCAGATGGCATCTGGTGGGCTAATTTTGTGATGTTTAACCTGTGAATAGCCCAGACAGTCCAGGTTCATACATCACACTACCAACCTACCAATGGGGCATTCATATGTTGCTGCAAGTGGCTTGAACTCAGGGTGCATTCCCACAAATCTCAGGTTATTTAACCCACAATTTACTCCTAAATACAGCTGTTGCATACAGATCAGTGCCTGTCCTAGGTAGTTGTTATTGAACCAAAACAAGAAGCAGTATTTTCTAGGATTAGAAAATAGAAATACTGGTCCCTTTCTGCCTCCTTGGTGAAAGGTCTACTATGGGTACAATGGGCATAGGTTTCACTAACTCCACACTGATGGCACTTTACAACAAATGTAACTATAGAAAAACACACATGGAAGCTGGCCTGAATGTGAGCTAGTTCTCCAGTAAATGTTCTTGCTTAGGGATGATCCTGAAACAATCTAGAAATGAGCAGCTCTCTCAGGCAAGGGAGGCCAGATGCAAAGAAGGTCAGGGGAGGGGTCCTGAATCTTGAATAATTATGCTGGTGTAGCTTGAATGCCCTCTTCTGCACAACTGTTCCAGATACAAGAGCATTGTCCTTTTTAAAACCTCTCCATTAGTTTTCTCTAATGATGAAACCATATTCTAAACAGTTTTATATTACACAATGGGATAATATAGCTGTTTTCTTAAAAAACACTTTATGGTAATATTAATTATAATTTTTCAAACTGTTATGGATACTGCAACCTTTCAAAGAGGGAAAATTTTAACTAGAGTAGAACCATATGTTTTATATATAAGGGCAAACAGAGCCAATGTATTTACAATGCCTAGTGAATGTTAGTAAGATGCTTCAGGACCTCAGAAATAACCAAAGAAATTGAGGTTAGTGACAGGGTCAGCACCTTTAAACCAGCCCAATGGAAATGTTTGTACTTAATGTCTTCTTTGTTTCCCTATTCATGGTGAACTAGAAGAGGCACCCAGCTCAGAAGAACCTGAAATCCCCCTGTCCCTGGAAAATGATCATGTGGACCAGGATTTCTATGGTTGTACTTAATTTAAAAGTTGGGGTACAGATGGTAATCGACACTGTTTAACTTGAAACACTGTTAAAATATATGATCTCCTACCTGTGTGAGCTATAATTCTTCCTGAGCAATAAAACTTAGTTCTGTTTGGTGTTACATTTCTGCAGTGTTCTCATCCCTGAAATGGCTACCAGAGCTTATCCTATGTGCCTCCCACTTCTCCAGGATGTGAGAAAGTCCAGAGGCAACAGCATTGGCCAGAACTGGCTTCCTTTGGAGAAGGGTTGCCTGGGGTCTTGTGGCATCTCTAGATTTGCTTTCCCTACAAAGATACAGGACAAGGCAAGTAGGGGCAAGCTTGAGTGGAGACCAAGCAGAATGTGTACCCCTGCGAGGCAGCAGATACACTTGCTTCCTCACATTGGACAAAAAGGTGCCTAGCTCACATCTCACAATCTCTCTCCAACCAGAGATGGCTGAAATAGGAAGGGTTGTGTCATTTCCTCCCCCATTCAAAACATTCAGGAGAGAGATCAAACTACTATCTAAGCATTAGCTTCCACTGAAGAAGCATCCACTGGTCACCCTGGGCCATCAACAAGGCATCTCCCTAACAAAAAGAAGCGACTAGCCCAGCAGTATATGCCTGTGGATTCACTTCTGAAGCGCAGGGACAGCCATCCTCCTCTTCCAAGAGGGCCTCTCATAAGAGCACACAGAACCGAGGTAGCTCTCTTAAGGCAGAGCAACTCACCTGATCGATGGGCAGCTGTGAGCAGTGGAGATGAAGGGGCCTTGGCCCTACAAAGAGCCTACAAATGGTGGTAAGTGGGTGGCTGAAGAATGAAGGACACAGTTGGCTGAATTAGAAAGAGATCTTTTTCCTTGCATGCCCTCCTTTTATTCCCCCTGCCCCCATCTTCCTAATCTATGGTATGGTCACACTAGGACTGAAAAATGTTATGTCTGGGCTGTACCAGTTCAGAGTACAAGTGGATTGTGCCTCACACAAACACATATACATACAGTCACCTTCTTTGCTTTGTGATCCAAAAGACAATATGGAGAGAAGAGCGCCATCTAGTGTTATCAATGTCACCCCACTCCCACTGAGTTATGGGGGTAATATATTACGAACAATGGTCTATTATATTGTTCTCCTTGGCCAGTTATGACCAATTCTGGAAGCTCTAGACCAGGGGCTTGGCAGGTAGACTTCTAAGATCTGCTTTATTTTTTGCTAGACTTCTAAAACCCACCAACTGGAACCAGGTGCAAAGACACATGGTTAAAATGTAAGCATTGTGAGCCCGGAGATCTGTTTTGGGTAACGCATCCAGATGCAGTTCACTGCTGTTCTGCACAAGAATCTGCTTCTATCTCATGCTTTATTTCAGCAATATAATTTAGGGTGAGAGAAGGGACATTTTTGTAAAACAATTGTTTAATTGCTATTACATTATTGGGAACAAGAAATCTTTACCAATCCGCCTCATGTTGCCTAGATATCTACCAATAGAGTCAAATCTACCTTCTTCTTAAGGGTGGGCAGATTTCAGGCTTCCTGTAGTCACTATATTTTCCTTGGAACTTCAGTGGCAAACAGCAAACGTGTATCTATTAGGATTGAGGAACGGGATGTCTTTCAGCACACTCCTCAGACAAGAATTTGCTTTCTGTACAAACACTCAACTCAGACTCCCTGCCCTGCTCCCTCCCCAAATTTCCCACTTACAAGATTATTCATTTCAGTAGCCTAATATGGGGGGGGCATTTTTTGTTTTATAGCTGCTCTTAAACAATCAGGAGTCAGAAACCCTTGGAGATCTGCACAAGTCACTCAGAGGTTTTTCAGAAGGTCCCAATAGATCTTCTGCTCACCTCTGCTTTAAAACAGAAGTTTTCAGACTTCTGTTCCATGGAACGCTGTTTGGTAGGTGAGCTCTTTGCCTTTGAAATAGCATTTTGTCTAGCACGACCAATCTTCACCAATCTGTTGGTGTATTCTAGGGTCTTTCTGGCTGCTGAGTACTGGACTGTACGCTGTATGAACCAACGCTCTCCTGGATCACATATGGGGACACCATTCTAGAAAAAAATGATATGGAAATACAGTAGCTCCCCAAAGGAAGAAAGCTAGAAAACCATAAATGTAGATACAGGATGCAGTGATACAGGAAAAGAGTTAAACATGTTAAACAGCTAAATGTTACGATGCTCTGTGTGTGTGTGCGCGTGTGTGTTTACATTTTGTATTGTTAAACCCTCCCGAGACTTTGGTAAGGGGACAGTCTACAAAAGTTTTAAATAAACAAACAAACATGGGGACCGGTATGTTGATAGTTTTCATGTGGGGGAGCGATCAGGGGGTTAAGCTAGAAGCCCACCATTCCTGTCTCCTCTCATGAACAAACCTGAGCACTGATGAAAACTGTGGCTCTAGGTAAACAGAGGGGATGACAAAGATTCATAGTTCCAAATGATACAAACATAAGAGAAGGAAGCCTGAATGACTGAGAGCTTCAGAAGGAAAGAACTGCAGGTAAGAACGGACTTGCACAGAAGGAAAAGTAGCCAGTGGGTGAGAAGGGAAGCAAGACCTGTGGCTGAGCAAACAGATGCTACTCAGCAGATGGTTTCCACTTACCTTGCTGGAGTGTGCCCTCTTTTCATCTGTGAGCCGATCCAACTGCATTGTACTTGCCCAGGCTGGGTTTTTCTAGCCAGTTTTTACAGGTAACCCCATTATGATGACCTGGGCACCTTATGACATCACAACGATGGGAGGTGAGGTTTTGAGACCTCATTTACAAGCAAGGCAAAATGCTTTTTGACTCTGGGATCTGCAGTTTGAGCCTTAAGATTACATTTCTATCCTTTCTCTCAGGGCTTTCAGTAGATCAACAGCATTTCAGTTGGCCCATCATTGCCTTCCAGTTGATTGATCTATTAAATTTAAATGAAGGCACATATTGTCCAAACCCCAGTATAAGTGCCAGTGTAATAATGAAGGATAACTTACAATTTACAAAAACACAAACTGCTATTCATGGTAAGAAAGAAAGATTGTCTTCGATATTATTCTTAGGCATTTTTGTGGGTTTGATTCAAAGCATTGCCTAACTGTGGAATTTTTTTTTACTCTCCCTGCTCTCCCAGACACATGGCTTTACTATTACAGTAACAACCAGAATCCAAATAGCCTAAAAAGAAGCAACTGTGTCCTTAAGAAACAGGAAATACCTCAAGAAGCAAATGTGGTCCTCAGTTCACCCCCATGATGACCTCACAACATTTAACTGCATGTGTCCTCTACAGGGCTGCATGCAAAGTCCTTACTAGGTAGCATATTCAGTTGCAGAGAGAGAGAGAGAGAGAGAGAGAGAGAGAGAGAGAGAGAGAGAGAGAATAGTCCCCAATGGGATCCAGGGAACCACTACACCTCCCCCGCCCCCAAGCCTTGAAATCTGACTGTTCCCACTGCCCAGCTCTAGTAATCTTCAACCTTTTTAGCTAGGAATTCACCTTACTCCTCAAGCATCAATAAAAGCCTTGATGTTCACCCATCTTCTCTCACAGGTTCTCTCTTTCCCTCTCCTCATGGCTTTATTTCTTCTTAATAAAAGGGAAAGGAGAAAAAAGAACTGGTGGTGATGCATCCACTGGGATTCACCGTAGACTTGAAACTGATCCTGCTAATTGAAATGGCCAGCATACTGAGCAAAGTGGTCTGCAAGAATCCTGTCTTAGGGAACAATCCAGTACATATTTAGACAGGAAAAAAGTCCTACAACCCCCAGCATTCTCCAGCCAAGGAAATGTACATAGGAGAGCACTTTTAACTATTTTGGAAACAAAGCCCCTCCTGATGCTCAGATTGCCGCATCCAGTGACCGGGATGCTTGGACAATCTTTCTGTTAAAAGTAGCCTACGCTCTAGCGACCTGAAGGAACAAGACTGTGCTTGCATGCTTGATGAAAAAGGTTTGATAAACAAATATAAACCCATGCTCACAGTGACTGTGTGCATGCACCCTTGAGTTGTCAATACACACGCGTTCTGCTGCTGACTTCAAAAGAATGTGGATACCACTCTTAAATATCATACCTAGCTGGTCATCTCAACAATTTTGCAAATTCTATCAAGCAAAAATTAGTTTTATTGTTCTGAAATTCATTTACTTGCTAATGATAAATCCTCTGAACTTTCCTTTAAAAAAATGTTTTTCTTCCATATGGTTCGCTCATGTGGGCAGTTTTAAAAATATTATACTGAATACTTTAAAACATAGAGGGTTTGGAAACTTTGGGAACAATCTTTATTCTGGTGTATTCCACAGCTTAAGGGATAGAAATTCTTCATTTGGAATATCCAGTTATCCCCCGCCCCCACTGGCTCACCACCTTTTAATATTCTCTTCGGCACTGTGCATGCATATATTACATCTGTGGGCCAGTGTGCCTCCTAAGGTCCATGGCCCCAAAAAGTAGATGAAATAAAGAGGAAAAAAATCCAGTTATTGAGAAAATAAAATCCTGACAAAATCATGCAGCCAAAAGGATGCAAGAATATGCAAAATTACCCAATGCCATGTAATTTATTCATATCACAGAATCCAGTGAGATTTTGGCACAGAAGCTTGCAGACCTTTTGTACAATGCAGAATCCTGGACTTGCAATCCATTCTTCAGAGGACACATCAGGCAGAATATACAAGCATCAACAGAATTGGTACATGGTTGAAGAAAAACAACTTCAACTGTCAAAACACTGGAACTGAATGAAGTTGACTGGCAGGAGATTCAGGCCTGACCAAAGAAAGTATTTCTTCACACAAGACATAATTTACTTATGGAATGTGGGTGTTGCTATAAGGATTGGTGATGACCACTAGCTCAGATAGATTTTTAAAAGCATTGGAGATTAGACACAAGCTGGAGGACAAGAAGTCTCTCCATGGTTATCAGTTACCATGGGTAAAGGAACCCTGATATTCATAGATAGTATATTTTGCAGCATGTGCAGAGACACTGGGGACAAACTACAGAGAAAGGCCACCACAAGCTTCACATCCTACTTCCAAGTAACCAGCTAGCCGCTGTCTTAAGAATGCTGGACTAGTTGGCTCACAGTTTGGTGCAGCAAAATAGTTCTTACTTCTCTTAAGGGGAAATACTTCCAAGCACTTGCAGACCAGACACATGTTGTTTGCATGTGAACTGTATGAATCTTATAATCCAGAAATCCTACAACTGTACCATGTTAAACTGCAGGTGGGGGTGGCATGTTTGAATGCTCTCTGTATAAACTCCCCATGTGTAGAAAATTAGGTAGGAGGCAGCTAGCTAGAATTCTTCTGCATGACAAGGAGATATTTCTGTTTTGACTTGCAGGAACATTCAAAAATGCAATGTGCAATCCCTGAAGTCTGAATTTGTACAGCACGGGATCCCTGTGAATCCTAGTTTGGTTTTTTTCCAGCCATGCTCTGCTAACTGGATGCATGGTCTCTACAGTTCTAGTAATGCAGCTTTTGAGTCAGGATTGCCAAGGTTATTAACCAGATAACCTGATTGGATCTCTAATGCAGCAGCAAACAGGGTAGCTCTTGTATTACTTGCACCTTTCATTCTGCAACCTTTCTACTTACCTCTTCTAGTTTTCTACTCGCTTACTTGCCTCTTCTATTATATCTAGGTTTCTGGGTTATATCTTGGTCTCCCTTTCCCAATAAACATTTGGATGTATTTATATTTTATTACAAATTATAAAAACTTTTGTATATTAGGCTTTGAATACATATTTCTAGACAAGAAGATCATAAGCTGAAAAGGGGGGAAACACATTACAAGATATGAGAAAAGATCCATCCTCTTTCAAGACATTTGTTTCTAGGAATATGAAGGAGTGAATTAGAAATTTTCCTCTATCATATCTTCAAACATCTGATTACATGGCTGCTAACTATGGATTACTAAACACAGCAAAATTCCAGACAACTGACTGGAAGCTAAATGCAGATAAAGGAGTCAGTGAACAATTAGCACAGAGGTGTGGAGATAGGTTGCTGTGCTTGTTATAACAAAAAACTACACATCAGATAAAATCAAAGATCTGTCCAACAACATTGGTTTTAAAAGTTATTTATTGCATTCCCAAAGCCATCAGAAAACAGAACTAAATAGAGCTTTTGCCTTATGTACCAGAAGGAAGTATGATTCATTGACCCCATATTTATTAGTTCAAATGATTTTGTGAGTCACTGAATACTTGTAATCGAGGGTATTAAGCACACACCTACTACTTATTCACAACTTGTTAGTAATCCGGCTAGGCAAAAAGAATGGAAACAGAAAAAGAGAGACTGGCTATTGCTATTTACTGAAACTACTGTTGCAGCACATAACTTTGGAAAGGCAGGGAACCCACAAAGTCAAGTGGATGAGAAATAACAGGAATGGGAAAGCCCAGGAAAAACCCGACTATTTTGCAATTCTTGCAAGAGGCCATTTTCAGACTTCACAGGCTTGCCTTAAAAATGCTTCCCTGTGCCCTCTAAATATCCATCCTCTGCCCCTTAATCAAAAGCTCCATATCACGTAGTGCACTAACTTCAGAAATATAGGTTTTTATGGTGGCTGAGAACAGTGGACCACCTCTCCACCATCCTGCTCCTCTTGGGTCTCTTAACTGTGGTTCTGACAGGAGACTTCCGGACAGTTGCATCAGACAGAGGAATACCACAGGCCTCTCCACAGTGCAAGGTTGACACGCCTATATGATCTAGGCCAACAGAGGGGCACAAAAGAACTTGTCCCCTGGCCCCACATCGGTGTCTTCACAGAACCCAATTTCCTCCTGGACTTCAGATAGCAGAAACAAATCTTTCCATGTTGCTGGAATAGGCAGCATGCCGCAGGTAAGCACTGGGGCTGCCGAGCTGCCCGCTGGCGTTGTACCCATGGGCTAACGAGCTGTAGGAACTAGGCGACATCCTGCCATAGAAATCCATAGTGTCGCTACTGAGTGGGGGCGAGGCAGGCATCCCGAGGCGGGCAGACGCTCCAAAGAGGTGGTTGCTGTTGCTCTGGGAGTAAGAGCCTTGGTTAACCTGGAGCTGCTGGGCCCCGGAGAGCGGGTACGAGTAGGGCACGGCATTGTGCGGCCTGGGGAGGCCAGGGCCTGCCGCGCAGCCTTGACTGGGATAGGCCGCAGATCCCGCGAAGGAGCAGGCGTTGCCGGGGGAGGGTGCTATGTCCGGGCTGTGCTGCTGGGCCAGCTCGGGGCTCGGCTGCGCCATCAGGGGGCCCAAGCTGAAGAGGGGCGGCTGGGACGGGTAGCAGAGGGCGGCGGGAGACGCGTAGGCCGTGTTCAGAGGAGGCCCGACGGACTGGGCCTGCGCCTCGTGCATGTAGGCTGGGTACGTGGACAGATCGCTGCGCTTGAAGCGCTTCCGGCGGCGCAAGAAGCTGCCGCTCTCGAACATGTCCCGGGCGTGCGGGTCGAGGGCCCAGTAGCTGCCTTTGCCCGGCCGGCCGGGCTCTCGGGGCACCTTGACGAAGCAGTCGTTGAGCGTGAGGTTGTGACGAATGCTGTTCTGCCACTTGCGCGGCCCGTCGCGGTAGAAAGGGAAGCGCTCGGTGATGAACCGGTAGATGCCGCCCAGCGTTAGGCGCCGCTCCGGGGCGTGCGCGATGGCCATGGCGATGAGCGCGATATAGCTATAGGGCGGCTTCCCGCGCTGCACAGGCCGTTTCCTGCGGCGCCCGGCAGGGCGCGAGCCGCCCAGCGCTGCCGCTTCCTCTTCCGACGGCTCGGGCTCCAAGGCTTCTCCTGGAGGCGCCGGCTCCTCCACCTTCACCAACGCCGGCAACCGGGCCCCGGCCCCAGCCTCGGGGTCCGTGTGGCTCGTCGCGCAGGTCGACGATTGGGGGCTCTCAGCCGTCATCCCAGGCGCTGGCCCTGGCACCGACGGCGGCGGCGACGCGGGTTCCTGGAAAACCACGGGCACCTCTTGCGATGGGGACGCGCCAGCCTCGCTGCTCCTTGCTGCCGTCCGAAGGAGGGTCTCCAATGCAGCCCGGCTTATCAGGCTGCTGATGGAAAAGGAGTTGGAAGGGAGATTCCGGCCGGCTTTGGAGCCCGACGTGATCGGAGAGTGATGCCAAGAGACTCCCTCCTCACAGACAGCGTGGACGTCGGGGCAAATCAAAGCTGCAGCAGGAGGCTGGATCTACAACGTCAGGAGCGCCTAAAACCGAGGTGATCGCCGAGGATCGCTGCTACTGCAGGCGTCGACGGAAATCGTAGTTAACGTGTTCACTGCGCCTGAGGGACCGGCTCCCAGTTTGTCCCGCACAGGGAATTGGGAAGCGCTGCCTTGACGCCGCCTTGAAAAAGACCGCAGCACTGGAAGTTGGTCGCTGAGCGAGAAGACTGGATCCTCGGCACCTCGAGTCTCCAAGGTTCTTGCGACGCGAGGAGAAGCACCGAGGAGGCTTCCTTACTCGGCAGCTGCCGCGCGTCGAGGCGTGAATGAGCGTCCACTTACTGTTCCTCAGGGAGCGCACAGGCAAATGGGGACGACGAACCTCCCCCTGGAGCCCGAGACCTCGGGAAGAGCCAGCCGGACAGCAGAGGGACTCTCCGTGCATGAGGTGCCTCTGCCTGCCCGCCGCGCTCTCCGCACCTGGGCAGCGAGCCGGCCGGCGGCACTCCCTGGCAGCTGCCGGTGCCTTAAAGGGACGGGTGGAGACGCAGCTTGCCCGAGCAGCAGCCTCCCCGATGAGAATGCCGGGGGCGCAGCAGACCCACAGGGCTTTGCTGAGAGGGGTTGCCAGGAGGGAGGGGCCTGTCCCAGGGCAGGAGCCGGCGGGAGGCGTCGGCAACGGGAGAGGTGGAGGCGTGCGCGGCTGCCCGGTCTTTCCCCGCCTCGTCCGAAGGAAGGCGGCGAGAGACGCCCAAGGGAAGAGGGGCGGCAACCGACGGCGCGCAAGAGGCAGCGCTTGCAGGCTCGGCCCGCCTGGACAGAGGTGCGCGCATGTTCGATCGGCTGCCCGGTGGGGCGCTTTCACAGGCGATGTGGGAACAGACCCGGGTTTGCCATGGACTGTGCACTGACGCCGGTTCACACGGGCGTGTATGTACCTTTATTTCTGAACACTTGCGACCTAGTTCAGTGATTCATCCTGCCTAGTGAGTAGGAGTCTTACTTTAAGGCATAACTTGCCTACCCTGCCCCTGGCTCAGTATATGGCCGTTTGGGAATTGGAAGGGGGGTTTGCAGGCAGGCAGTGCAAATGACCGTTTGCACGCTCAGTCGTGCCAGGGAAAGCAAAGGAAGCAGCTCAATCCCAGGCTGTGTTTCCTCTGGCTTTGTTCAGTGAGTCTGGCACTCAGTTAAATCTGTGGTGACATGAAATGCTTAGGCTGTTATCCTTTATTTGCTTAACTAGGAGAATGCCCCATTGGGCTGATGGGAATTCGGATTGGACCTGCACTGTTAACTTGGTGTGCTTTGCATCCACGCATATGCAAGGCTTCCCCTGCCCCATCAGCCACCGCTGGAACAGTGCAGTGAATTGCCTTACCGATGGAGCTGCAACTGCTAAGGACCAAACAGGCAAGATAGATGCAGGTGGTTGTCTTTCTTTTCTATGCAACAGAGAAAGCAAGTCAGTTAGTGGTACACAGGTACTTGTCCCCCCTGTCCCCTGAGTATGGAAGAGAATGGGGTCCCTCCACATCTCAGCCGCTCACCCAAGCTCTTCAGGACTTTATATGCCTGGTGAATGTTGTGTGTGAGTTGTTTAAGTTTAGTTTCATTTGAAAGAAAAGATGGCCAGAGAGGTGTCCAGTTGCAGTTCATGAAATCCTGGATGCTGTGGAGAAAGAGGACACCGGGCTTGAAGCAGCAGTGTGTGTACACAGGGGTACCCCAGGAAACCCATGGGCAGGCATTTCAGAATGGGTGAAAGAAGGGGAGGCAAAGGCCTCTCCACCACATGATATGGTGATGTGCAGTGATTTAGATGGTTTTGACAGGATCTGAGGGCAGATACGAAGAATGAGTCCCTACATGGCTATTGGCTAGATGGCAGAGCTAGTGAAAGGGACCTCCAGATCCAGAAGCAGAGAGCAGCGACTCTGAGGCAGTGGGGACTACTCTCACTGTCAAGCCCTGCTTGTGGTCTTCCCAGAATCATCTGTCCAGCCATGGTTGGGAAGGATGGGGGTTGGGCTGGAATAGCCCTCCCCAACCAGACACCCTGCCAATGAGTTGGACCACAATGCCCATCATCCCAAGCAGTTGGGGTGATGGGAGTTGTACTCCATCCTCCTTGGAGGATGCGTAGTTGGGAAAGGCTGACAGTAGAAGTTGGACCATTGTTTTGATCTTTCTGTCTTGCTCCTTTACTAAGCAAATGTTTATGTTGCTTCCAGCCATAATACTTAAAGTACCTTACAAGAATAACAAAAATATGATGTGACTGTAAAATATCAATCAACCACTGCATGGTACACAGCAATCAAACCGCACACTATATAAACTTCAGGAAGAATGTTATGATATGATATGTTATGATTCTGAAATGAAATTTTAGAATTCAGCCTTCTATGTCACAGTACCTTTTCTGAAGTAAAATGTGAAATTTCTTTGAACTTTTTACAGTCCATCATATAACTCATGTTCATTTTGGATACAATCTGGAAGAGTGAATCTCTTCTATTTATTAATTTGGCTAAATAAAGTATGATCTTGTTTGAAATGGCCAAGAGAGGCAACCGAGTAGAGTGGTAACCAAGAGACTCTGACAACCCTTTCCTATTATGCCAGGGTTACTGAATAAATGTTGAACCTCCTATGGAAGGTACATTGAACTCAATGGGCTATGTGTTTATTGTACTGTAATGTGGCAGAGACAGGGAGAAAAAAGTACTTTGAAATATTTATAGCCCATCATTCTTTGTCTAGTCTGAGATACATAAAACAAGAATAATGAAGTGCATCAAAAAACAAACAAAACAAAAACCCAAGAATAATGGCTTAGAAGGTAAAAAACAACAGCAACAACAAGAAGATAAAACAACTGCAGTGAAGATGTAATATGCTCTTGCTTGGGATAAAATAACACAGTGGGACTTACTTTTGAGTTGCCATAGATAAGATTGTAGCATTAGGGTAAAATCTGGTATCTTTCTTACTCAGAGTAGACCATTGAAATAAATGGGACTGAAGTTCATCATGACTAACTTGGCATAGTCATTTCAATAGGTTTTCTCTAAGAATATACATTAGATTTTACCAGTTGCCTTTAAGGGCCAGAGGCCCTTCTGAACTGGAAAGTCTTGACAATTCAGCGGAAAACCATCCAAGAGGAGACAAAGAAGGCCTCTTAAGTCTGCTCTAAGAAAGCCTTGTCCAAACTAAGTTTAAAACAGGCTGACAGTCTCTGAATGATCTTAATAAGCAGACAAGCTAATTATATTTATATCTGGTGTTAGGAAGTCATCTATGGCTCAGTTTGAGAACATACAACCTAGCACCAGTGCCACTGGTCTTATCACCCTATTTCAGCAGGATCCAATCACCTGAACTTTATAAAGTTGCAGATGTAAGTTGGCTACGTTATCTGCAAAGTTATCCTAGACACCATTGTGAGACAAGCCATAAGAGAGGGAGACTTTTTCACACTGAGGGGTCTCGAACTGCATTTGCTGGAGCAGAAAGTTAAAATCAACTAATAATGCAGTTCAAGTAGGGAGCAGTATTGAGAGATAATGTCTACAACAACTTTGTGCAACATGAGACCCTCCAGATATGATGGATGGCATGCTGGCTAAAATGTAATAGAGTCTATTGTCCAACAAATCACATCTGGATTATCCCAATTTGGGCAAGGCAGTCAAGGATATCTTGGAGCATGCAAATGTGATGTTTTAACAACTAACAATGGAATCCTAAACATATTAGTGGTAATACTCAAGTTTATCCAGGAGTCATTTTCATTGAACTCAATGCAGTTACTCCCAAACATAAATTGACTTCGAACTGCAACTTAAATGAAACTTCCATGTTCAGATGCAGTCCACCTTTTCTAGGCCAAGGAAGAGAGAGAAGAAGAAAAGGCATTCCATATCTCAAGCACTACTTCTGAGCATCCCAAAGCCATCTGGCCACTTCTTTAGTATGATACCATCCATGTTTATTCAGAAGTAAGTAATTGATTTTCATTACTTACTTCTGAATAAACTGAGTCAGTGTGACATAAGAGCTTAGAGGACTGGGATGGGACTCAAAAATCTGTGTTCTAGTCCTCACTTGGCTATGAAGCTCACTGGGTAACTTTAAGTTAGCCAAACTTACTTCACACAGTTGCCATGAGAGTAAAATAGAAGAGGAGAAGGGGCATGCTTGCTGCCCTGCATTCCTTGCAAAGAGAAAAAATGATGGCATATAAATATATATTTTAAAGTCCATTGTTTTTGTGTGTCTATTTGTAGTTGTTCAGCCTGCTTTGATGCATCTTTAATCAAAGGCAGGTACTGCTGAATTTTCCCCTTACTCCCAGGTAAACAAGCGTAGAATTGGCACTTCAACCTAGGACAGATATTGAGTATTACAGATAGGGAATGTATTGAGAAAGAAGCCTTGAATGTAATTCTCTCCTGTTGCATTTATTTGTAACCATGATAAAAGTAAAAAGGCAAAGGACTGACACAATGCAGCTGTAGTATTGCTTCAGATGTATACAGCCAGAAAAATCGAATGGGAGTACATCCATGGATTATGGGGAAGGGAGCTAGAGAGAAAAGGATCTGGAATCAAAATAAGGGACTGCCAAGTTTTGATGATTAGGTGAAAGGGGAGAAACACACACAAATATTTGGTAGAAGCCACAGCATAGGTTAGACATCTGGTATGTAAACTATATACAACTCTAAACTCATAAGCTGAAGATTAATACAATTTAGGCACAATCTTATGAATGTTTAAACAGAAGAATAGTTGAGAGTATGCTGGGAACTGTAGGACTTCAGTCTAAACATGCATGCAATTGCAGCCTTATATCATTAGTGAGACTTAATCTTGAATAGATGGGTATAGAATTGCCCTGTTGGTAAGGTTTGTGATTTTAAAGAAGTGGAATTTGCAACTGTGGATCCTTAACATATTAATTTGCATTTGCCTCCCTCTCTTTCTAATCCTGTTTACTCTGTTTCCATTGAGAGCATTTCCAAAGTTGAAAAGAGAATGCCAGAGCAGTTCTAAATATCTGTGTTTACTTGGAAATAAGTTGCACTGGGTTTAAGGGGCTTACTTTCAATCCAAGGTGCACACAGAACTGCAGACTGTAAGGGTATTTAGGTAGGAGGGATCCAGGTTTTCCTATTTTCCACTGACACTTCAAGGAAGAATGTGGTACCTGGAAATGCACCCCTGAGAATTCAGAAAGCAACATTCATTTCCAAAGGAGGGGCACCAGCACCCAGGCAGAATTGTGTATTTTATTGTCTGGTGAGTTTAGACTGTTGCAGCTTTACTTTTGACTTCTCTCCCTGTAAAACTAAACCAGTACTTGAGGGGGTGGAAAGGGGAGTTGAAAAGCTAGTCGTAAGAAACAAGCTGATCTACAGCGGAACTTCTGATTCTAAAAAGGCAGTTAGTTGAGAAGATCTGTAAGAAAAAAATACTACCCCCCAAAGCCCCTTATGCCTGCACCATTACATTCATTACATTCAGGCTGTGGGTTCCAGTCTCAATCAGGCACTTGGATTGATGAAGGTCTATTCCTTTGGAGTTTACGTGAGCCAAAAAGGTTTGCTTGAGAGTTTATGCAACAATAACTGTCTTAGGATGCAATCCTATGTATGTTACAAGGAACAAAAAATCTTTGGCTGGGGAATGCTGTGAGGTGTAGGATTTATTTTTCCTCTGTGTAACCTTGCATTGCATTTTACCCATAATTATTAATATTCCACGAAAAGCCTTTTTAACAGTTTGTCTCATGGGCCTAAAAGGAGCACTTCCTTCAGGGGTTCTGTTACAAACGTATCCTCTTATTTTCATAGATGGGCTATTTTTGTAAATAGAATCACATGAAAGAGAATTGAGCCCTTCCCATTGATTTCACTGGAAGAAATAATTTTCCTTCTTTTTTTGGCTCAGGAAGCAGCAACAGAACACTGTGTTTGCTTGGTGTGTGCCTTTCTTGAGAAAATGATGAGAAAAATAAAAAATAGTCCTGAGTTTTTGTGTCAGCGATGGCCCTTCTAACTGAAACCACTTTGCGATTGCAGGGGGTATGCTGAAAAGCATGCTTTAGTTAATTTGCTTTGTTGATTACAGAAAGTTCACCTAGATTTGTCTGAGACAAAATAGAATGTTTTAAAACAAAAATACTTTTTGAGAGGCCACCTCTCTCTGTCAACAGGGCTTAGATGTTATATCCATCCTGTTTCTAATACATGCAGATATATTGCACGTGTCTTTGCCGAGTACTACGGAAACAAAGGATTTGTTTGTAAATCTAAAGCAAAGAAAAGAAAGTTCCTGCCCAAATTCATGCTTATGAAAGCCACATAATTCTTTTTCTAATGGACCAACACGCTCCTTATGCCTTTGAATAAAACGAAAGTCTTTCTTTTCTGCTTCAGTAAGTCTTTGACGTAGAAAGAGAGAGTGCATCATGCCATTGGAGGGGCGTTATAATTTGATACAAATGTAATTGTATTTCAGTAATAATAATGCTTTATTTCTGTAAGTATAATAAGAATAATAATTGCAACTAGATCACAGTTACTATTGCAATATATTTAGAGCAGTGTTTTATAGCTTAAAGTATACACAGCTGAACAGAAATGCGATCAGAGCAGATTCTGAATACAATTGAATAACACAAAACTGGTGTTGAATTCAGTGTACAGCTCACAATCTAAACTGTAAAGTGCAAAGTAAGCCAATTCCTTAAAGCCAGAACACAATAACAATAATTGTCCCATTACATTAATATAATATAATCAATTCAATAATTTATGTATTAACGTCCCACCTTTTTTCCTGCAAAGACTTTAAGACAGCTTACATAGTCTTCCTCCTCCTCTCCATTTTATCCTCACAACAAGAACCCTGTGACATAGGTCAGGTTGAGAGTTTAGGCTCAGCCCAAAGACCCCCCAATGAGCTTCATGGCCAAGGGGAGACTTGAACCTGGATTTCCCAAGTTCCAGCACCCTGCACCACTCCAGCTTATTAACTGCCATAACAATTCTCCCGGCACAAACCCACTGCCCCCTTTGATTGGGTCACTGTTGGAAACATTTTCTATTTGGGCACAGTAAGCTTTAGTCATACATGCTTTTACCTTTCAGCTCCCTCTGGCATCCCCGGACAACCCTTCGGCTGCAGCACAGGCCATCCCAGCACCTTGCAGAGCCGTGTCAGGAGAGCGCCTGCATGATGCTGCTAGGTAATGGTCTATGATCGTTGAATTACTCCGGACATGATCGGCCCATTCTTTCTGTGTGAAAGGAGAGCATCTTTGCTCAGGAGTAGCTCTACACCTGGGCTTCCTTCCAAGTAAGCGAGTCTAGGATAACAGCCTCAAAAAACTACCAGACTGTTGGAGTAACCACATTAGTGCAGCCACCAGAGAGAGTCTGTCGGAATAGGTGTGCTGAACTGTAAATTATGTTATTCTTGTAAGTGGGTTTGATGCTAGTCTGGTTGTATTCTAATCTAATCTGCCTCCTAATCAATGGGGCAGGTACATCCAAATTAACTGAAGTCTCATTCATTTCTGAGTACAACTAAATCTGGATCGAGCTCCAGATCTCCATTTTAGAAAAGTTTTAATGCCTGCTAGGATCTATTTAAATATGTATTACGTATATGTAATAGGGCATGACCTACTTGGTTAAACAAGTCATTGCTTATGAAGGGATATAGGAAAGAAATCAGAAGAAACACTGAGTTTAGTTTCAAAGAGACGGAAGGATCAGCATGAATTCAGCCATTCTGTGGACCATGATGATGATGGCGGCAGGCCAGGCATTTATTGAAGAGAGCAGTCCATTAAAGGCGAAGGGGCAAGCCCATACCCACTTGCCTGGGAGTGGCTCGCGGAGCTTTGTGGGATCCGTGTAAGCATGCATGGGATTAGCCTGTGCTCCCAAAGGGACTTCGAGGAGTTAGTTTCCCTTTCAGATTATGCAGTGGGGGAAAGCACAAGTTTTAGGATGGAAGAAAGAAAAGTTTTATCCCTCAAAGTAGTCCAGTGCAGTAATTTGAAGAATAAAACTTTCCTCCCTTCTGGCTGCTTCTGTCTTTTCCAGCTGCTTATTTCGGATATTCTGCAGGTGTGTCTAGCGCTCCCACCCCGTTTTTAGACTATAAAAAGCAAAAATAACCGTACTGGTCCATTACATAAAATTATCCAAATCAACAGTTGGGCAAACTTGTATGAGAACTTGTATGGAATTTTGAATAGTCGTAATTAAGGCATCGCCCTTTTAGACTGATTTTTAAATCGGATTTATTGGCAGCAACGACTGCAATTGGAAAAAGCTGGTCGGGACAAATGCAAAGGTTTATTTTGGGGGAGGACATTAATTTACCGTTGATTGGGTGCGCGTAGTATTTATTGTTACGTTGGTTGTATTTTATACGATCTGACGAGCTGTGCACAGTGTTCGTTAAATATAAAGACACAGCTATTTCATTTTATTTAGGTGGGATGATGAATACATGCGTCCTGTTTTTAAAAGGATATTAAAAATGGGGTGGGTTTTGCCGGGAAGCAAACCTCATTCTTCGAATCTCCCCCTTTCCTCTGCGGATGAGCTCAATGCCCCTCGCTCGCTCAATGCCAAGCCGTAAGAGAAAAATGAACATAAAGCTGTGAGCCAGGCTCCTAACTTGGCCGCGACGCCATCCTTTCCCTCCTACTCCCAACCTTTATTTTCCTTGGAAGTAAGTCCATCCCATTCATGTCTGTGGGGCTTCACTTTCGCCAAGGCCAGCGCTTGTGATCTGGACCTTGCTCTGCGCACCCTCAGCCGAGTCCTTGTGAACGGACGCCCCCTTATTCTAACGCGATTGACTTTCAAAGGGATCCTCGCGTTTCTGCTCGTCGGAATTTTAACCATATCCCTGGATTTGCAAGATGGGCACCCCGCGCCTGTCCGGGTTTAAAGCAGGGTGGTGGGCTGGGTCCGGCTGAGTTCCTGGGACTTGCTCTCGGGTAAGCACGCGCCCAGGCGTGCATCCCAAATCGCGCATGAGCCCATCCGAGTCCCTGTTCCGGATCCGACCCCATCAGCAGCAACTCTTAAGCCGCTGCGTCGGGGGCACAACATTCGGGCCAAGCGCCGATTTAGAATTGCCTTTGATTGTCTAAGCCACCCTTCAAAAAGGGTGCCCGTGCCAGAGTCTTGGGATCGAGCCCTAGTAAGAGTGGGGTAGACAAATACGGGGTGGGGGTGTCTGCGGATATTTCTTCCCTCCAGGAAAAGCCATACTCCTGCACTGGCGATCTGGAGAGAGGGCCGCTCCGAAAGAAGCAGCGGAGAGGCGATTTCCTTCCGAAGGACGCAAGGTTGATGGCTCGTGTGGATGAATTCCGTCTCTGATCGCGTGTGGTCCGAACAAAACCCCGCGCTCAAAGGCAGCAGTCCTAGAGACCCGCAACCTGTTGATTTAGAAAACAACACGTATTAGCCCCAGAAAGACACCACAGACCTAGGAGTAAGTCTCATTGAACTCAATGGGATTTACTTCGACGTAAATTAGATGGGCATTGGATGGTGCTGGAAGCCTCCCAGCAGGGTTTCTTCAGATTTCCTGTCCAGATAACCTTGGTTGCTCAGAAAGTAGTGGGCAACTTGGAAGCAGAAGAGCTTATTTGGATTCAGATAGAAATAATTTTCTTTAAGTACAAAGTACCACTGGGAGCCAGCAAGAGTTGAGGGGCAATTCAGCTTGTTTTCTGTGGTGCTCACATGTCTGAGCAGGGATGAAACCTGTATTCTAGGCTGAATTGTAGCTTTTTTTCCCTTTTCCTTTTTTATGCTGGCTTGGATAGCAAAGACACCTTTCTCATGGAAGGTGTGTCAGTCAATCAATTTATTATTTGTACCCCAGCTCGCTTTTCAATTTTCCAGACACTCAGAGCAGCTTCACTGCATAAGAAAGGCACCAAGCAAACAAAACTAGCTGTTGGTTTTTCTGAAAAGCCAGACATAATAAAAATGCCTCCATATACCAGCTGAAAACAGCAATTTAAATATAATCCCAGAGCTCAGCAGCAGTGAAAATCTGTAAACTCTGGATAGTTGTGGGAAAGAGAAGTGATTGCCATTATATACAGGATTTATACCCTGCTTTTCTACCACAGCATTCAAAGCAGTTTACAAGAGTTCAACAAAATAATGTAAGATACAAATCGAACCGCTCACAAGAGGTAGGAACACACAAACACCAGCCCACTGGTTTCAAAACCCAAAGCCTTTTTGTAAGTTTTCAACATAGGAAAAAAGAAGGGTGGTGCAGAGGGAGACCTTCATGGGGAAGAGATTTGAGAGTCCTGATTTCATTACTTAAAAGACTGAAAAGATTGGCAACATGTAGGCATGGAGGCCTCTTTTTGAGATGGACACCGGCTGTGGGCGGGCACCCTGGCCAGTCTCTCCTTCGGCCTGCCAGGCAGCATCAGTATGACACTTGTCTGCGTCCTTCCACTCTTGCGACCTGCAGATGCTGCCTGGTCTCTCCGCCTCAGGCACCTGACTTCAGCAGGAGGTCACAAAGGCTGGCCTCTCTTCTCTGGCCAGAGAGCCCTTCATAGACGGAATAGCTCTCCTTTTCTCTTTCTGTCCAGGCAGACAGAACCAGGAGTGCATGGACACATCCTTTCTGTATCAAGGAAGGCATTCTCTTTAGCTGTAGTCAACTGAACAACAAAACCCAAATCAATGAATTTAGTTTTCCTTATTGTAGGAACTCCTACATAATGCACATTATAATGCACATAATTTCCTCTCCTGGGTTATTACATGGTAGAGCTGAAGCACTGGGATGCATTATCTTTTGGTTCCCAGACCTGAAATAAGGCTGTTTCATTTTAATGAATTCACTAGAGAAGCAACACTTAAATCAGGGCCAGGCAACTCGCAGCTGTGGACCGGATCTGGATCATCTCACCTGCTGCAGGTGCCAGGCTTTTCCTTGAGAAAGGAGGATCCCTGTTTGGCCTGTCTGTGTTGGACAACCTGATAACATGCAATGCAAACCATCTCGATAGGATTGTAGAGGATGGTATATAAAAGCTTTAAATAAAACAAATAACTCCTGAAAACATTTTAATTCAAGGCAAAGGAACTTTAATTCTTTAAAAGTGAGTGAATGTTAACCTATAGTGATCCATATGTCTTTAGGTCCTATGCAGGCTTCCCAAAGAAGAATGTCTAGTATTGCAAAATTACTGAAATGCAGGCTCCAATGCAGCAGAGGGAATGGGAAACTCCAGGCTATGGGTGCCATCTGCCCCATGGAGGGTTGCTCAACTTCTGTGGACCCCACATCTAAGCATGCCCCACCCCCTCCCTTGTGTGGCCTCACAGTAAGCAGTAATCCTATGCACATCCAATCAGGAATAAGCCCCCCTGGGCTCAGTGGGACTTATCCCAAGTGAACATGCTGAAGCATCAGAAAAATAAAGCCCTTAATGGCTTGGGTCCTGGTTACCTGAAGGAGCGCTTACGTCCATATATGCCCGCCCGCCCGCCCCTTCAGATCAGCGGGAGAGGCCCTTCTCCAGGAACCCTCCGTGAAGGAAATTGGGAGGGTAAGTACTCGGAGGAGGGCTTTCTCTGCGGTGGCGCCCAATCTATGGAATGCGCTCCCCAGAGAGGTCCGCCTGGCGCCGCCGTCATTTGTTTTTCAGCTCCAGATGAATACCTTTTTATTCAAATGTTATTTTAATTGTTAATATTATTTATTCATTTTATTCTTTGGCCAGGGCGACTTAATTTATATTGTTAATTCATATTGTTTTATTGAATTCTATTTATTTATGGTTTGTGAGCTGCCCCAAGGCTTCAGCGAATGGGGCGGCATAGAAGTCCCCTAAATAAATAAAATAATAAATAAAAAATGGTCAAGAGCCCATTTCATAAAACCATTTCTGTCAGTTTCATGAAAAATTTCTGTCTCCCCCCCCCCCCCCCCGCCCACACACACATCTAGTTGTACAAGCCTGCTTAAAGAGGTGTTTTTCATGGCTGAATTGCTTAATTCAGATGATCTGCCATATCAAAGTCTAGATATTGTCCAGAATACAGTCCAAGACCTTATTCAGCTTGGCTTTCTGTGTGACTGACCAAGCACAGGATAAGTTAGAGCAAAATAGAATTTAAACTGTAAGTGGGAGCTTTGTGATGAACATATGTTACATGAGCTCTTTTGTGGGGCAGAATATAAGTTGACAAATTAATATTTATTAATGTATTCCTTCTCTGTGGAATAATCACAGGCTGAGCAGGTATCCCGCTTCATAGGAGCCGCCTTTTATAAAGGCCTGCCAAAGAAGAGTCCTCTATTTGAAGAGCTTTCCAGTTTAAGCTGGGTTTAAAGGGAACAAACCATAGAAAGGAGAGCTGGGCCTTGAAGTTACCCTTCAGCAGCACCTGGGCATGGATCACCTGGTCAGCCTTCCCTGTTATAGTGAGATACCTTGTATTTCTGTTTAAATTATAATTACTATTTCTAAATTTGCATCTGTAAATATAAATTTACAGATGCAGACTTTATGTACCCTGGAATCCCCTTTTGTCCCCATTTCTGATGATGTGTTTCCTCTCTTTTCTGCAAGATATAAATGGCCACCTGAATTGCAGACGGGAAAATGCAGAAACAGGGTTAAGCAGGGCTGGTGTCCTGCTGTGGCTCACGTACCAGAAGCGGACTTCTGCTGATGCTGCTCTCTTGGTCCTGGCTGCGGTTTTCCGCATCATTGCTACCTGTTTAGCTTTCTTCTCTGGGCCTTCTTCTTGTAGGTTAGGCCCAGAAAATGCAGGCAAGTAAAGAGGCAGCAGCAAGAACAGTGAGGGGGAAGTCGCATGGGGCCCTGATGAGTGTTTCTTGTGAAAGCACCTCTCGAAGCCTATTTTCAGCACTGACCACTAAAGAAAACCACCCAAAACTTTAGCTGCAATCCACAGGCCATTTTCAGTAGCAACAGTCCACTGACTTTAACAGTACTCTTCTGAACAACATGGTTTATGTAAACAGCCACTTGAGCCAGATTTTCAACTCCACCAGTAGCTACTTGTAAAAAACACAATAGATCAGACCCGGCGAGCTGCTCTGCATGTTCCTGCACCCAGTCAAGTCCTGCTAGTTCTTATTTCCTGTGTGGCTCAAAGCAATCACATTGGCATCAGCTGAAGTCACATCTATGACAAGTGTTATGACAATCTAACATGGCTTTTAATATTTATACTATCATTCAGCACAAGAGTTAAAGCCAACATTATATAAAACAATGTATTTATAAAACTATTCCATCACAGTCTATCATGACAAATGAGATCTTGGGCTATGTGGGTAATCTGCTAGGACCAGGCATTTACTTTTTAAATTCGTTTATTTTTATTTTTGCTCAATAGATCCAATATATCCATTGCCGAACAGCTCAAGGTGACATAGAAGAGACTGGTTCCCCTTAAAACAAAGTGGGCTGCCTTCATCCTGAGTGATCCAATTTGTGTCCGTGAGAATCGCTGTGATCTGGCACTGCCTTTTGAAGTTACAAAACAAGAGTGCCGAAGAAACAAGATCTTTTAACACTTGAAGCTCCTCTAACCTATGTTTGGTGATCTTGAGTGTGCATTCTTGGGTATAAATGTCAGAATCATCTTGCTGGGCCAGACCAAGATCCCAGTAACATGCAGTCACCAGACAGTCCACTAGTGGACAATGGTCTGACTTTCCCCATCCTTGCTGGCTGCAGAACAAAGTCAATGGGCAACATCCAGGGTGACTGTAAGGAAAGAGGCGATACTTGCACGGCACAAATTCTAAGATTACCAAGAGCCTCCCATTACTAGGATGTCCCTGCATATGTCCTTTTTACATTTCCCTAGCTACATAGGTGAGTACAAATACAATGAACTTCTGTGGGAATGAGATAAAATTTCTAAACCTGGAAACACCACTGTGTAATGTACAAAACCAGCCCTCCTCTCCTTCTTGGCAGTCTAGTCTCAATCAAGAAGAATTTCAGAAGGTAGCAGAATGTCTGTTTGTATCTGAAATAGGCCAGTGCATTATGCTGCTTCAACCTGACACCACTCAGATGTGTTGTATTACAATTCTTATGCCCCCTCACCACCCAGGTTTGAGAAGCTCTTTACACACTCCTCAAGTTCCTTGTAGGCTTTCTCTCTACAGTTCCAACCATTATGATGATGGTGTCTCTCAGAAGTAATAATGACCAATATATTCCCAATCCCTATGAGGAGTACTCCAGGCATCCTGGAGGAAGAGCTCAGCAGTGCCTCTTGGGCTCAGGGGCAGGGGACATCTTACAACACTCTGGACGTCTAGAAGGTCACAGGCCTGTCAGGCCTTTTTCCAAAATCCCTTTTCTTAATTTAAGACTTAGTTGATTTATTTTGTTTGTACCTTGCCTTTCTACCATAAAAGGTGGCTTCCCACCACAATAAAACTCAGTTAACATAATAATCCAACAAATGTATTAAAACATTAATGAAAACATATCAGTAACCGGACAAAACACAGCCAGCCCAACAGGCCTGCTTATACACCAAAGGACTGTTCAGATAAAAAAAAAAAGGTCTTTGTCAGCTGGCAGAAGGAAACAGAAAGGCAGTGAGCCCAGCCTCCCTTGGCAAGGAGTTCCACAGCCTAGGAGTGGCCACTCTAAATGCCCTCACTTGTGTTACCACCCAAAGTCCTCTGAGGGTGGCCTGTTTTGAAAAATAGCTTCTCTAGATGATCTGAAGAGCCAGGCAGGCTCATAGAGGGGAGGGTGGTCTTTCAGGCAGTGTGTTCTCCAGTTGTGTAGTATGGAGCTATGAGACATAGCCGCTGCTTTGAATTCTGCCCAGAAACAGACTGGTAGCCAGTGAAGCTGTTTTAATAGGGGCGTCTCAGGCAAAAAACTGTGGCCACACCATCCAGGGCCAGCTGAAGTGTCTGAATACTTATTTGAAGGTAGAGCCACATAGAGTAGTACCTAGAGATGAAGCCCTAAGGGACATCGCAGGCAACAGCTATGGCTTTGAACAGGAATCCCCTAGCATCAACTTTGCAAATCACTCCCCCAAGAAAGATTGGAGACACCACGTCACAGCACCTCCCAATCCCTTTTCAGACGGACTTCTGAAGTCCACTGCCTTGTGTTTTGGTGCCTTTGTCTCCCTCCCAACTAATGGGCACTCAAACTCCCAAATTTGCTATTAGGGGGAATTAATGCTAAGAGTACAAAGTTCTGTTTAGAGAAGCTCTCTCCTCCCCTGCTGTCCTGGAAGGCGAGCGAGCACCAGGGCATCTCCATGTCACATCACCACAAGCAATCAGGCCCTGGATCAGGTGTGGGGTATATTATAAACATTTTCTCTTTCCTTTTGTCAACTGAATTAGGGTGGGTGGGTAGGAGGATTAACGTTTCTAAAAGGGACGAATAAGCCAAACACTTTTAGCTATGCCTCGTCTGAATCAGGCCTATTGACTTAACAAATGCGCTGAAGAGTAACGGCTGATGAAAGAAGCGGATGAGTTTAGGGGGCAGCAGAAGGCGCTGCACTTGGACTGGCATAATGCTGAGCACACAACCTTGGCGATGTTTTTCAGGGTTTTTTTTTTTTGACAAATAAGAACTTGAAAACTAATTTTGGCCAACATTGGCAGTCCAATTTTCTCAAATATGTACTCGTGCCAGAATTTCCAGTTATTAAGCTGCCAACAGCACTTGCTAGCCCCAGGGCCTCCATCTGTCCAAGGGTGCAGCCAACTGCAGCGTTTTCCCATGCAAGCCCCATTGAAGCAAATGAATATCAGAGGGGCTTCAGGTGTTGCGTGGATTGTGTCACAGAACTGTTTGGGCACTAGGTGGCACTGGACATGGTGGTATCAGGATGCCATTTCCTGTTAGGGTTCGTTCTTTCTGTTCTTGTGAGAAAGTGAGACAATAAAATGGTTCCCACAAAAAGCTGCACAGGTGGAGAACTTCCTGGTGAAGTGTGCCCCAAATTTGTTCTTGAATATTGATTGCTTACAGTCCAGAAATAACACTCAAGAGTTGCTGTTTTTTTTTTACCTTAAAAATACATAGAAACAGTTGAAACAAGGGGCTGAAATGAAGAAGGGATTCCAATTTTCCAGTTTAATTAAAGCATTGCTCTGAGACAAAGACTTATTTTAAAATTAGCTTGCTTTTTAGATAATGTTCCCTATTTTTGTGCTACTGGAAAAGAAATGAAACACTGAAAAATTGTAAATTGAATTGTTTTACAATGCATACACTGGTTGACATCTCCTTAGGGTTTGTCGGACTTCTTCTCAGGTCTTCAGGAAAGCTTTGGCAACTCACCTGTTTTCAGTGGCCTTCATGTGGAATGGGGCCACCACCTTTTGGGACCTGTGGGCACAGGTGGCATTTTGAAACAGTAGCTTAGGCACTATCACAAGTGAGCTATGGGAGGGTAGGGATGGGAAATGGGGCAAGGCTAGTGACAAAAATGTAGGGAGCACCTGCCCTTTTATCGGTGTTTGTGAGTGCATTAAGCATACCTTGTGTGTTTACTTCACAGCTGAGGCCCCACTAAGGGCCTTGTTGCCCAAAGGGTCTCAGGGGGACATTTTGTCTCCTCACCAGCCATTGGTTGACAAGGTGGGCTTCCCCCACTCAGCCACACAAGTAAATGGGGGGATTACTTCTTTTCCTTGGACAGAGGAAAACAGCTTTGTGGGTACAGTATCATCCATGGGTGCTGGCTGTGGCTTGCTGCTTTTATTATGTCTACTTTTATTGTGATTATATCCACTTTGTACAATTCTTACTTTGTCCATTGTGTCTTGAGAAGCTTTTGCCCTTAAAGGGCACTGAAAAATAAATCTGAATAAATAAACATGTTTAAGATCTCTGTCCCACAGATACCTGTGGTAATCTGGCCTGAATGTCTAATATTAGAACCAGTATCAAATACCTCTCAGCCTCTTACTATGATGGGCAAAGGAAGAGAAGATGAGGCGGCTGCGGAGGACTACGTATTGCAGAGATTCCTTGCCGGTGCCATGTTGCCTGCCTCTCCCACATTGGGCCTCTGCCCATGGGGACCTTCTCAGTGAGGACTGCTGGGGAGATTTCTCGTCCTCACACAGTGGCATTGCTTGGCTTTCTTCCGCTGGAGCGAAGAGCAGCCATGACATGGGAGAAAATCAAGAAATGTGCTCTGGAATGTCTCCTAGGTAGGAGCTAAATCTGTTCCCTCCTTCCCAGGGCCAGGCCTGCTTCTGTTGCCCTTTCCAATGTAAGAGGAACCACTCCTGTCAAGCATAGTGGAGGGAGGGTGTTTGTGCGTAGACAAATGCAGAGTGTGATTTGTGTGTGAGAGAGAGCAAGCAAGGGCTACGTGTTTGTGCTGCAGCCACATGCTGTGTTTTGCCTGGATGCCCCAAAGAACTGGAAGTCAGAAAGGAGCTTCCATAGGTCAGAGGCAGGCACCAATTTTGCCCCTGCCCAGCCTTCCGGGATTCATGCCCTTGCCCCCTGCTGTTGCACCACCACCATTCAGGTGGGTGGGGAAAAGGGGAAGGTTGCAAGGTACATGTTGTGAGGGAGCCTGCCAGCTGTGAGGACAGGGACTGCAGCCACGCATCCCCTGTCCTCTCACATATCCGCTGGACCTATGAGGACTATTCTCACCTGCCTTGAGGATTCTGTCTATGGGTTCTTCTTTACAAATCTGTGCTGTGTCACACAAAATGGCAAATGGGGGAACCCAACATTTTTGGGGTGGTTGTGATCATCCTCCTTTTCATAGCAAATCAGGAACAGAGATGCAAATATCAGTACTAAACAGAGCTTGACTTCTTCAGGGTAGGGCTAAAGCATTTTCCTAATCCGAGGCAGCAAGTTGCTCACTATGCTTGATTGCCCTCAACTTTGCAAGTTTTGCTTCAGCTTTGCTCAGTTTGAGGTTCCCAAGTTTAACACCTGCAGCAGAGTTTAACCTGCTGGCTGCCGGCCTGACATGAGGCCCTCTACATTTTTTGGCTTCCAGATCCAAAGAATGCGGACCTTTTTTCTTTTTTCTTTTTTGCAGGTGTGGAAGAGGCAAGTGCATATTTTCTGAGAAAAGCAAGCAAAAAACAGTGTTTCAGTCCCAGGAAGTCATGAAATGCATTTACCTCACTTCCAAGCACTATAAAGTCACTGACTGGAAAGAAAGTGCCATTTTATTCAGTTGAGGTGTGTGCTTTTCTGTACAGAATTGTAAGGTAGGGTAAGAAATTGCTTCCTGCCCAATTGTGACAAAAGAAATTCTACAGTCAGTCTAGGATTTAAATCTGGGTTAGCTACAACACCCTTGCCAAATAGCTTCCCTCTGCTTTTGATTTTTTCCAAGGTGCGTTCCATTTTGATTCACATTTGTTTAAAAGGTTACCATATAATTTCCAATCATATTATTTCCTATCCTGCCAACATTAAAATATATAGGAAAATGACTTAAGAATGTACACAAAGATATTTCTAAAAATACCAGCCAGTGAGATTTGGCTTCTTTTCATCCAGGTTAGGATATTTGTTTATCTAAGCTTGTTTTTCCCCATGCAAATTTGCCCGAGATCCCAATTTACCCTCATTTCATTCAGCAAATGCTCATGGGTGGATGGATCTGTATAAGCCCCGTTCATCTTTTTGCACATATGGCACTTCTATGCATGCCAAAAGTTCTCCTATATTTTGTAGTAATATTGGAAGTAGCTCTTTACCTCTGAGTGTGCGAATGCTTGCTGGTGTGTGCGTCCTCCATAGGCATGGCTGCTACCTGCACTGCAAGGAACAGGGAAACCAATGCTCATCAGAGTCTCTATTAGGCAAGCCAGATGACCAGGAAAAAAGGCAGGTAAACTAAATTTCTCTTGGCTTTTCACAGTTGCAGTGTGTGGAGGATGACAATCAGCATGGCTTAGAGAGCCTGGCAGAAACATTGTCACCTGCTAATCCAGTTTTCCTCCGACACCTTTCTCTGGCCTCCCCAACAGGGCCTCTGTTTTTTCTAACCTTGCTGTCCCAGGCACCTATGATTCATACATTCATACATTCGATTAATTAATTAATTAGATTTATAACAAACTCAAAGCAGCTCACATCATTTTCTTCCACCTGCTCCCAATCTTATCTGCACAACAGCAGCCCTGTGAGGTAGGTTGGGCTGAGAGTCTTTGCCTGGCCCAAAGTCACCCAGTGGGCTCCATGGCTGAGTGGGGACTAGAACCCAGTCCGTCTGAGTCCCAGTCCCATGCTCTTCACCACTACACCACACTGGCTCTTAACCACTGCACTATGATTCCACCGGCCTGCCTGCTTCTCAGACCCCATTGCCATCCTTTCTTGCCCGCTGCTGCTGCTTTTTTTTTATAAAGACTTTTATTAAAAAAAAAAATTAAACTAAAAACATCAATCATCAAATACATCGGACATACTGGGTCAGCCCCCTATAACGTATCTTTTTAACATTCTGTAGTCAAGTTCAGATCAATTTATAAAAATGTAAAAACATCTTTAAATCTAAGCCAAGTCCCGTTTCTCCAGCCAATCATAAAAAAGGTCCCAAGTTTGATAGAAGTCAGTATCTTCTTTCTCCTTCAATAATAGAGTCAATCTGTCCATTTCTGCACAGTCCAGAAGCTTTTTTAAAATCAGTTCCTCATTGGGTAATTCCTCACTCTTCCAGTATTGAGCAAGTGCAATCCTCGCCGCTGTGATTAAATGTAGCATCAAATACATTTCTTGTTTGCTAATATTTTCCAGTATAATGCCTAACAAGAAAATTTCAGGTTTAAAAGCTAAGGGTTTTTGTAGCATTTCCTCAAGCCATTTATGTATTTTAATCCACACAGGTCCACCACATATGGTAAAAAGTACCCACGTCATGTTTACATTTCCAACATCCGTTTGACATATTTGAAAACATCTTAGCTAATTGACTTGGCAACAAATACCATCTATAAAACATTTTATATGAATTTTCTTTATACGAAGTTGCTAAAGTTACCTTAATGTTTCTCTCCCATAGCTTTTGCCACTTTTCTAATTCAATATTATATCCAAAATTTTGTGCCCATGTTATCATAGTTTCCTTAACCGGTTCCCCTTCCATCTTCCTGTCAAGTAACAACTCATAAATTCTTTTAATCATTTTCTCATCTGTTTTTAGCATCACTTGATCACCCTCTGCTTCTTCTGCTCACTCCTTCTGAAGACTCTGAAATCACAGCCAATGGCAGGCAAAGACCTTCCTGCCCACGTGCCCTGAGACATTTATTGATCTGACTGTTCCCTCAAAGTTCTATATTCCAAATGCAGCATTCAGGGAGACTAACAATCACAAAGCAGTTAAAACAATGGACAAGTCAGTCCACAACACAGCAATATAATTAATGTCACCATACATAGCAGAGTGGGTAAAATGTAGCCATAGCAGAGTTAGGGGCATCAGTCTTTACCTTTTTAGCAAATAAATGGATGGAACTGGATCCAGTGCTAGGCACATGCAGCTGGGGTGCTGGGCACAGGCCTCTCTTCCTCTTCCTCACCTGGGCAACCTTTCCAGCCCCCTCAAAATGTTAAACAGAAGGACAAGGGACCCTGCTAAGTAGTATGGCCTGTGATGTGAAGGGAAGTTGGTTCTGTGGATCTGGATAGGGGTAATTTTCATGAGCAGAAGCCTTCCCAGAAGACATTGCTGATCTATCCTGTAAAAATAGCATCCCATTCTGGTAGATAATAACCATAATAATAACGAGAGCCAGTGGAGTGTGGTGGTTCATGCGGGACTGGGGACCTAATGAGCTGAGTTCTGGTCTCCACTCAGCCATGGAACTCACTGGGTGACTGGAGCAGCCACAGACTTTCAGCCCACCCTACCGGGATAAGATTAAGAGCAGCAGGAGGATAATGATGTAAGCCACCTTGAGTTCTTTGAAAGGAAAAACAGTGGGCTATAAATCTAATAAATAATGACATTTTCCCCTCAGGAAAAACCCCCTCAGATATCAGTTCTACTGCAGGTTACTTTGGAGAAGACATGAGACACAGAGATATGCTATGTGTTCAGAGTGAAGAACTTTAATACTCATATGAGAGTATTAGTGAGAGCCAGTGTGGTGCAGTGGTGAAGAGCATGGGACTGGGACTCAGGCGATCTGGGTTCGAGTCCCCGCTCAGCCATGGAGCCAACTGGGTGACTTTGGGCCAGCCACAGACTCTCAGCCCAGCCTACCTCACAGGGTTGTTGTTGTGGGGATAAGGTGGAAGAGGAGAATGATGTAAGCTGCCTTGAGCCCTTTGTAGGAAAAAGGCAGGGTATAAATCGAAAAATAAATAAATAAATAAATAAAATGAGTCCCGGAGGATACCACAATGGCACGCAATCTCCTGGAACCAGAACTCCAAAAGTCCACCAATGCA